AGAGCACTTGGATGATCCAGAAGAGGATTGGGTGGATGTCATATGGTCAGATGAAACCAAAATAGAACTTTTTGGTAAAAACTCAACGAGACGTGTTTGGAGGAGAAAGAATGCTGAGTTGCATCCAAAGAACACCATTCCTACTGTGAAACATGGGGGTGGAAACATCATGCTTTGGGGCTGTTTTTCTGCAAAGGGACCAGGACGACTGATCCGTTTAAAGGAAAGAATGAATGGGGCCATGTATCGTGAGATTTTGAGTGACAACCTCCTTCCATCAGCAAGGGCATTGAAGATGAAACGTGGCTGGGTCTTTCAGCATGACAATGATCCCAAACACACCGCCCGGGCAACGAAGGAGTGGCTTCGTAAGAAGCATTTCAAGGTCCTGGAGTGGCCTAGCCAGTCTCCAGATATCAACCCCATAGAAAATCTTTGGAGGGAGTTGAAAGTCCGTGTTGCCCAGCGACAGCCCCAAAACATCACTGCTCTAGAGGAGATCTGCATGGAGGAATGGGCCAAAATACCAGCAACAGTGTGTGAAAACCTTGTGAAGACTTACAGCAAACGTTTGACCTCTGTCATTGCCAACAAAGGGTATATAACAAAGTATTGAGATGAACTTTTGTTATTGACCAAATACTTATTTTCCACCATAATTTGCAAATAAATTCTTTAAAAATCAGACAATGTGATTTTCTGGATTTTTTTTTCATTTTGTCTCTCATAGCTGAAGTGTACCTAGGATGAAAATTAAAGGCCTCTCTCATCTTTTTAAGTGGGAGAACTTGCACAATTGGTGGCTGACTAAATACTTTTTTGCCCCACTGTATGTCGGCTACTCGTTTCAGAAAAATTTCCCCTCTTATATACTATTATATATAAAATAATTATTACTCATGTATGATTGTAAAAGCAGCATTTACTGTTGTGTACTAATTTGTACAAAACTACTTTTCATAATGGTTGATTGCTTGATTGCTGTTGATTGCTTTACATTACATTACATATCACTTGTTAGACGCTTTTATCCAATGGGACTTGCATACAGTACACTCAATACTGTGGGCGATCCCTACAGGAGCAATTTGGGGTGAAGTGTGACAGAGTAAAGGCCAGTAGGTAAACTTTATAAAGCCAGACCTCTTTGCACTTACTCAGCTAGTTGTTAAGTCACCAGTATTCACCAGCAGCCCTATAACAGCTTAAGAATCTATGTTTTTGTGTGGTATAACCGTTATAAAATCGTACTCAATACACCTGTAAGACCTGTTCAATTCATTCACTCACCCCCTTTTGATGGAATCCAGGAAGTCCTGATTCTTTGGTATGGAGTAGCTGCGAAACTCCTCATCATTAACAGTGAAGCCATCCTTCCAGAGCCTCACCACCATTTCCACCTGGAATGAGGCCCACAAAATGAGTCCTAAAAAACCTAACACTGTTATATTAGATAAAAACATTGTACGGTCAAAACTCCCAAAATATGTCTAAGGACATAATGAGATGTTCCTGTGCTAGCTGCAGAAGGCCCATGTGCAGAGAGACGACCCCGGAGGTTTAGAGGTAAACATTTTAAGCTGACCTTTGACGTCCCTGAGGCATCGTAACAGATCTTCTCCACCTCATCAAGGAGGTCTTCTACCGAGAAGGTACGCCTCATTGGAGCCTCGTCTTCATTTTCTTCACTGGAAACCCATCAAGAAATAGACAAGTGTATGATTCGGTCATTTTATGTCTTATTGAATTCAGCCAGCAGTGACAGGCTTTATTGTGCAGAAACATTGCATTAGTGACTTCTCACCCCCACATTTGGTTAAGGGTGCAGGTTTGTAAAGTATTACAGCAACCCTGACATTAAATTAAAGTCTTACATTTTGTATTATGATATGACTAAAAATACAGTGAAGCAGTTTTTGACAATGAACATCTTGGATGTAAGGCTTGCTCCAACTAGGCTCATCAACTAAGTTTTTTTTGTAATATATAAGTGGGAGAAAAAAAAAATTACACACGTAAAATAAATGTAAAATAGTATAAAATATAGGGTGTAAACATAAACGTAAATAAGATGTGTAAAACATTTAAAATTAAGTAATTTGTACAAAATGTAACAAATAAATTTAAAGGAAACAGGACTGCAGTAAATGTGAAATATGCCTAATACATATATAGATAAATGTAAACAGTTGGTAAAACAGTAATTAAAGTACATAGAGGTAAAGTAAGATTTATAAGGGATTTTAAGGAAAAATAATTATCAATTTGTTGTGACCTACCAACTTTCATCTTTCTCATCCCCCACAGTGTCCATCTCTTTCAGGCCTCTGTGCGTTTTCCATCTATAATAAAACGAGTGGACAGGACAAACGTCACAATATGGCCTAGCTATCACAGCTTTAAAAGCATATTTAATACATCTCGAGGAAACCTTTATTAGCTCAATGGTTTATTATAAAAATGTATTCACAGGCATTCACAAGTCAATTGTATAGAGCTCTATGTTATAAGTTAACATATCGATAAACAGCCAGGCAGCCTGTAGCGTTTTCGTTAATTATGTAAGTGGGCGTATGAAGACATGGCTGCGCACATAGTCAACGACGTAGGACCTTCTGTGTATCGTAACAACATGGTTTATATATACACACACATACACACTGTAGATGCTCATCTGCATGCGCGTATTATTGGTAATGTCAAATAAAGATTACCAGTCTGTGTTTTGTCGGTTAATCCCGGGCTACACATCTCCAGCCAGCCATACATTTTCCTTCAGTGGCTCTTCTGCTGCCGAGCAACGTGTGTGACGTAGTAGTGCCGTACGTCGTCTCCTCTTGTCGTAGTGAAACTGTACCGCTGAGCTCAGCAGTCTTGCAATTGAAACAGAAATGGATTATCTATGTATGTATCTATATGTATCTATCTTTGTATCTACCTATATTTTTCTGTTTTTCCTAATAGCATTTTAAATGTACACTGCATTTACACACCACTATCACAAGTTATGTAATACCAATAATTAAGTTATTATGTGCGTTATTATTATCATAAGCCTCTTTCTTTACAGTGATTCCCTTATAGCGTTGCAATAACTTTCTTAATATATATAGTGCATCAGTGGTCCAGTGAGAACACATTTGCACATCTGGACTGTATAATGTCCTCATCCTCTGTGGGGCTTAACCCTTAGATGCATAAGTGGGTCTTTTTGGACCCGGTGAGGTGGTTTTCTTGAAAGTATCTTTGTAATTACATTTTTTTTATCATTTCATATTCCAGTTATTCCTCAAAAAACAGGTTTTGGATATCATGCCATTTACATTTTAAATTTAAATGTTATACATTTTAAGAAATTGTAGTTTTTGTATTTCGACCCCAAGCTTCCATAAGTGGGTCACAAATGACCCGCAAGCATTTTCTATGGAATCCTATGGGAACCTTTGATTCTTATCACCTGTTGCTGTCAGGAATAAATTCACTGTAAACCACACAGACTACATCACAAGTGACACCTGTCAGGAAGATTATTTTACACAGCAAGATCTGATACCTGTCAGTATAATAATACAAATAATAATAATAATAATAATAATAATAATACATTATATTTGTATAGGGCATTTCAAGGACCCAAAATGGCTTTACAATATAAGGGAAGGTTTTGGGGAGGGGGGGTTGCTATGAGTAGAAGAAGGAAAAGAGATGAGTTTTGAAAAGGGACTGGAATACTGTGGGGGTCTCAGAATAGCGGAGATCTTTGCATCAATATGTTCAAAACGTTTTTTTTCACAATGTAAAAGAAATGTCTAAAATTATAAATTGTGAAAAATTAAATATAAAATATTTCTAATGTGAACCAAAAGTGATTTGTGAAAATGACAAAAATGGCATAAAAACACATATTATTCTAATACGAGTCCTTTTAGACCCACTTAGAGTGTAGGGTCCAGTCACTCGTGCATCTAAGAGTTAAGAGGTTAACAATCCTATGTAGATTCTTTATTCAAAGTCATCATTCTACTAGTATTATACACATTTTGATTGTACATCACTGCACTTTTATTGGACTGCCATCAGATTTTTTTTTAAACTATGTCTATCATCACTTAATGTTCCCATTCAATTATACAAGTGTCAAATTGAGTTTTAGATGTATAAGATAACCTCATGTAAAACAAGCCATATATAACTTTTCATAAAGATGTGTTTAGGTGGTGAAGTGTTCCAGTGAGGGGACAGTGCAGACAATCATTGCCATGCCCCATAATTACCACTATTATAACCGCAATTAATTAGTGCTTATATGATTTTTTTCATGGCCAGGATTCCCTGGCTGAAGATATCTTGTTCTTGAATGGGATATATAATAATCATTTATTTTAACCATTATTGTGTGTTATATTAACACATTATCTTGAAGAGTATTACTCAAGGATGCATTAATTTGTTTGTTTCTCAAAGAATCAACACTTAAAAATATTACTAATTAACTATTTTCAGCATCAAAAACATTAAAATTGGTGTTGTCTAGTAATTGCAGAACATTCGAAATTATAACAGGTTTACATCTATTTATCAGTGGGGGGTAGCCCATTTTTTGGAACACAGACAAACAATGTTTTATGGAATAGAAATAAAAATAGTAGTGATCGTGCTTTTTTAAAAACACAGCTTAAACAAAAATCACGAAACAGATGGCTGGCGCAATTGCATATTCAGTCAAGCCAGAAATAGAACAAGCAACACACGCACACACAAACACACACAGGTTTGGGTTTCAGCAGTGGTCCCCAAACTGGAGTCACACGATCCCATAGGGGTTCTGGAGAGGAGAACAGGAAGTTCTTGGCAAACTACACATTTGTTAAATGTGTCTTTTTCGTTTTAGGAAACCGAGTGAGATTAAAGGCTTCAAGTGTTCCAATCTAGTGCAGACTGAACAAAACGAAAAACAGATAGTCTTTGTTGGTCAACAATGTAAATTCTTTCTGACAGACATTATGTTTTTTTTAAAACTGCAAGAGTGAAACATGATGCTTATGATTTTCCGAACTTAGACCACATGCAATAAGGTTGTACTAAAGAAAGACACAATGTTTGATAATCGTAATAACAAGTGTGTCTCTGGGAAAGCCTGCAAATACTTTATTGAAGTCATTGCAATACTTTTTAATTATATTTCCAAACTTCTGAAGTTAATGACTGGGGTTTAAGTTTCTGAATAGACTATCATATATTTAGTCATATTATATGTATATACATATATATTTTACACATTTTGTGGAATAGAGATGATAGAGAATGAGTAGACTTTATTTTTAGGGTTTAAATGTTTAATGCAATCTCTAAACCCTGAAGACAAAGCACACTGATATTCATATCTGAACGGAACACTGTGTACTCAACTTTACAAAGGTTGAATGTATTAATTTCATTCTTTTATTTTTCGGTTTATACTTCCTTTTGGGATGCTTGTGTTACATGAAGGAATTTACCTAACTTTATGGAATTCTCTATCCTCATTGTCCACTGTAAATACCCCTACTGTATATTGGACATTATAACCCATAATAACTTTACACAAGGTTTCTATTAATTACAATAGTCTCTCTGTGAAATGTATAGTATGTTTATGATGATTAGGCTACTGTTTTTGTGCTTGTTTTGTCCAGTCAGCAAATGTTATTGCACCTGCCAAACAGTCAGACCCACATCCACTTGAGAGAGAGAGAGAGAGAGAGAGAGAGAGAGAGAGAGAGAGAGAGAGAGAGAGAGAGAGAG